AAAGATCATCAATGTTTCCACGAAAGGGCTTTGCACGATCAATGTCACTTCTGACAATGTCATCTGGGATCACGTAGTCCTCCTTGATCTTGTAGATGGTCTTGCCCTTCCAGAACTCTTCACTCTGTTCAGAAAACCTCTTCCTCTCTGTGCGCCAGTTGTCCTTGTGAAGAACCTTCTTCTTGCTCTTCTGGAATTCCATGTGTGTCTCTCTCTCATCTAGAAGTTGATCTTTTGGAATTGGAGTTTTCTCTGATCGTGTCATCTCATGCAAGTTCATCCTCTTGTCCTTGTGGTGCCTGATGAGTTCACGACGTAGTGGATCCACTTGCCAATAGTCACCAGTCACCAAAGCTTCTTCTTCATGAACATCTTGTTTGACAGCAATCTGGCTGTACTCATAGTGATCGTGTTGTGAAAAGAAACTCTTGACTTGAGGAGTCTTGAAATGAACTTGGCTCATGTACCATGCTACATCTTGTAGGTCGAGAATGAGATGAGTGCTAATGGCTGTCCTCAAAACCATTTTTCTCATGCCAATACGTGCACATGACAAATAAGCCTTCTCTGGAGTAAGTTCGAATTGAAATCCAAGGTTTCTCATCTGTGGAAGTGACATCAACAATGGGACATCACCTTCTTCGACAATGTCGAATTCTGTAAACTGAGTGTTCCATCCATGATCATACATGAATATCACGAGCTTCTCAGTACATTTTGATTGTTGTGAATTTGCAAAGAAGAATCTTGAACTTGTTGGCTGAATTTCATACCAGAGTCCACTGTTGGGATGTGAGTCAACATATCTGCAAAATGCTTCAACTGCTCGTCGAGAGCCCATAGCTCTTGTGCATCCAAGATCTAGAATACACACAGTTGGTGGTGCAGAATTCTCTGTGTGAAAAGCTAGTCCATTCTCACATGCCGGATCAGTTTGTACAGTATGAAATGAAAAAGCACTCTGCTGTGATGGTTCCTCTATCTCTGTAGAGCATCCATATGAAAACAATGTTGTGCCTTTTGCCAATGGCTTCCATGAAGCCTCACCTTCTTGAAGACCAACTTGCCTGGGCACACGAGCTGGACGTCGTTGTACACCTTGTCGAAGTGCATCAACTTCTCCAACCAGAACAGGGAATCTTTTCATCTCCTTCCTGTTTTGATGTGCTGTTGCATCACGTTGGTTCTGTCCTCCACGACGAGTGCGTCGTTGTACTTCTTGTTGTTCATACGTGGATGTCAAAACATCAACACGTGCTGGCTCTGTCTCTGCAACATCAACACGTAATGGGTCAGTTCTTCCAAATGCAAAGAAACCATGACCAGAACTTGATGCAGCAGAAGAATAATGAGCTTGTTGTGTTTGTTGATTCTGTATGGCAGGAACTGATGTGGTCTGAGGTTGAACATAGTTCGACTTGCCTTTTCCATCTCCTGGCTTTCCTCCTTTGCCATCATCATCCTTGCCTTTCTTGCCTTTCTTTCCTTTTCCTTTTCCTTTCCTCTGGAAGTATCCATACTCATCCATGTAGTATGAATCATCATAGGCCCAATAGCCTTCATTCCAGGTTTGATCATCGGCCCAATAGCCGTCATAGTTTTCATTCCATTCATCCTCTTGCCATTCTTCTTCATAACCTTCTTCACTCACCATGTGAGCACGGCCTTTTCTTCTTCCTTTACCTCGGCCTTTTCCTTTTCTTGATCTGAAGAACCTTCGTCCTCCTCTGCCTTTTCCTTTTCCTTTTCTCTTTCCTTTACCTTTGCCTCGTCTGATGTATTTGCCTTGGAACCTTCTTTGATACCATGTGAAGTTGGCGTCATCATAAACCCAGAAAACATCTTCTAAAGCATCCAGGAATCCTTCTGCGCCGTCTTCTTCATCTTCGGCCCAATAGCCGTCGGTTCCTTCTAATTCACCTTCATCCAGTACGAGGAAAGATCTTCTCTGTGCCATGCCAGAGGGTTGCATCAATGGATTGTCAACTGCTGTTTTGGTAGTGCAAAACATTTCCAAAAACAGGTCACGTAGTTCTTGAATGTTGTATTGATCGAGGGTTCGTCCACGATGTGTCATGATACTTGTGAGTGTATTTCTCTGATCTTGACTCAGGTCAGCTAGACTTACAAAAATCAATGCTAGCAAATTTTCACCCAGTGGGAATGCTTGTCTTTGTACTTGTCTACGCTGCTCATTGTACTGTCTGAATGCCACTAATGCCAGTTCATCTGACCAAGGAACAGGTACATGAGGGGCTGCTCCTGAGGCTGCTGCTACATCAGCTCTTTCTTGTTGATCTCGATCATGTTCTTGTCGTTTTTGTGTCACAAACAGGATTGCTTCAGGACTAGTCACTGTTGCTTCTGGAAGTAAATCCATCCAAGACTCAATAAGTCTATTGCCAGTGAGTTGAAATCTAGTCATCCACTTCTGAAGATCCATGGTTCCTCTGTTGAACTTCATGAACTGCATGAAACGGTATAAGAACACGTTCTGGGCACCTTTGATGAAATGAGGTCGTAGAAATCTTTTGAAATAATTCACTCCTTCTTGGGGATCCCTGAGCATCTCTCTATCCAATAGTCTCTTGTATTGTTGAGCATCTCCTTCCAGTCGATTGCGCAAGGCTGGACCACGTTTCTCTGGTTCTAACTCCGTAATGTCACACCAGTCATCGATTGCATCCTCAAAAGCAAAGAAGCTGGTTCTCCCATCATATGCTGGAGCTACCTTTGTGGTCATTTGTTGCGTCATATGAATCTGTGTCTGCTGGGGTGCTCTTCTCATTGCATAAGAGTCATATTGGTTCCATTCATTTGCATCGACAATGTCGAAGTCATCATCATCATAGCCATGGCTTGCCATTGCTTGGGCTCTACCTGGAGCTCACCCTCAATGAGGGATCACAGCTCCGCTACCACTTGAAGAGGGGCCCTAGCGTCTACTTCAAGATCAGCTAAGGCGTCTTCCCCAATGACAGCACTCTTTTACTCTCAGCCTGTTGCCGGTCAGTGCTTGTCTACAGGGTTACTCTATATACCTCTTGAGCCTTGAAGGGCGCATATAAATGTGCTCAATACTCATGCATGTACCTATGTAGGTATTAGGTCGAAACAAAAACAAGGGCGCAGCGCCTCCCCCCAAAGCAGAATGAAAGCACCTCTTCTCACATGTAACGCTGTCAGCTTTCAAGAGAAGGTTAGTTCGCAAAAATGCCAGCTGCGGACGATGGTCATGGTTAGCATTCACACCATCATGTTCACCACATCATCATGCCAACCCCAACTAGTGTATTAACGAGCTTGGGTTTAAATATAAAAAAGCGGGAGGGGGGGATTGGGGGGAGGGCACAGCGCCTCCCCCCAAAGCAGAATGAAAGCACCTCTTCTCACATGTAACGCTGTCTGTTTTCAAGAGAAGATAAGTAATGTGATACTCAGGGATGTAAATACTGTGCAAAATGCATCTTACATGACAAGTCACGTATTTACAGATGCGGAAGCTTGGGTTTAGATAAAAAGCGGTTAGGGGGGTTGGGGGTAATGCTTGCAACGGTTTGGAACTTGAATTTGGCATCCTTTTGCATGGTATTTGCCACATTGGGCATGTTCACCTTCCATTTCGCATGGGATTTCCTACATGTGGGCATGTTCACCTTCCATTTTGCATGGGATTGGCCACATTTGGGCATGTTCACCTTCCATTTTGCATGGGATTTCCTGCATGTGGGCATGTTCACCTTCCATTTTGTATGGTATTTGCCACATTTGGGCATGTTCACCTTCCATTTTGCATGGGGTTTCCTACATGTGGGCGTGTTCACCTTCCATTTTGCATGGGATTGGCCACATTTTGGCATGTTCACCTTCCATTTTGCATGGGATTTGCTACATGTCGGCGTGTTCACCTTCCATTTTGTATGGGATTTGCTACACGTTGGCATGTTCACCCGTCCCTTTTGCATGGGATTTGCTACATGTGGGCGTGTTCACCTTCCATTTTGTATGGGATTTGCTACATGTTGGCTGTTGGCATGTTCACCGTCCATTTTGCATGGGATTTGCTACATGTGGGCGTGTTCACCTTCCATTTTGTATGGGATTTGCTACATGTTGGCACGTTCACCGTCCATTTTGCATGGGATTTTCTACATGTGAGCATGTTCACCACATCATCATGCCAACCCCAGGAAAAGCAGCAAAAGCAGAGAAGCAAAGAAACAGGAAAAGCAAAGCAAAAAAGCAGAAAAGCAGAGAAGCAGAGAAGCAGGAGAAGCAGAAAAGCAAAAAAGCAGAGAAGCAGGAAAAGCAGGAAAGCAGAAAAGCAGGCAAAGCAGAGAAGCAAAGAAACAGGAAATGCAGAAAAGCAAAAAAGCAGAAAAGCAGAGAAGCAGAGAAGCAGGAGAAGCAGCAGAAGCAGAAAAGCAAAAAAGCAGAAAAGCAGAGAAGCAGAGAAGCAGGAAAAGCAGGAAAGCAGAGAAGCAGAGAAGCAGGAAAAGCAGGAAAGCAGAAAAGCAGAGAAGCAGGAAAAGCAGGAACAGCAGAGAAGCAGGCATCCAAAAAAAAACTATACCGACTATACCTGATAAAAAAAAAAATAGCCCTCCTTTATCAAATCGTTTGCGACAGAACCTCTTCCCTTGCAATCACCACGGTTGCACAAACGGCGTTATTCAATTTGGTTACAGTATATCATCAAGCGACAGAAGTGAAACGGGCAAAAGTGCGATCATGCAACAGTCAGAGGGGAGCGGGGCCTTCGTTTCCATGTACAGATAAACAGGTAAACAGGTGGGAATCCAGTCATGTCGCCAAGATGGCAATTCGTTGACAATCGTTGATACTCATTGTGATTTTGCCATTGAGAACTACCCGTGAGAGTGCGACCGCTATCGTGTCAGGAATCAACACACGGAGGTGTTCAGTCACATGTCATGCCTGTTGAAGGATTTGTATATATAATGATGTTTGAACGTGTTTCACTGCATTTCTGGTGCGTATCAAATGCATAGCCGTGAAGCAGCACCGCCACGCCAATACCCAGTAAAGGTCCCAAGCAAAGTGTTCCGATGAAGGCTGCCTAAGCTCAGAACTTCTTGAAAGTGTCATGGAAACGGGGTGCCGTAAGAGTTGTCGAGTGAGCTGTCAGTCTTGGTGACAAGAACAAAAAAATACAAAAAGGCCGCTTCTAAATGCACCTGCCAACATCTGCCTACTCACAAATACAGCTGCCCAGCAGGGCAACACCCCTGATGCTCAAAATGCCTCAAAACTGAGCGAGTGGCCATCCACATCGCAAAGTCGCTCTTTTTCACGTGGAACCTCAACAAACGGAAACTGTACAACTCAGTCTGTCTAGAGTTGCATGTCTTTCAGGCTTCAAGGAACTTTGGATCAGCTGTGTAAACTGAGCTACGTGAATTTATGGAGCCTCGCTCTTTTTGCTCTTCAGTTGCGCAGCACCTCTGAAATGCTTGGAAGCTAAGAACAGCACAAGCTGCGTGCCACATCGCAAGCAATCAGTTTCGACACTGAGCCTGCAGGACACTTTGCACTCAAGTTGATGCAATTGTCAAATGATTTGTGATGGACTGCATTGAAACATCCCTACAGAATCCTAAAGATCTTTTCAAAGCGTCTGCTTCCCGCTCAGAGTTTCAGGCTCACGACAATTGCGGCCAGCACAAATTTGGGGAGGTAGTAGAAAAGCCTTGGAACATCTTGGAACCAGTTCGAGTGCTCAAGGCGTGATCTCACGGCCCATGGATGCCCATGGTCCAATTCAATTTTTGAGTTTTCTGACTTTGTTGAATACCTGCTGAATCCCTACCAAAAAAACTTTACGGCAGCTGGATTTGTGAAAGATTCATATGAGACCGTCCATGCTTTGTAGGATCGATTCAGTTGAGAATCTGATAGAATCTCTGAAATTTGGGCTTCCAGGCGCTAGGGCCCTAGGGATGAGTCACACTTGCAGTTCCATACAACACGCCCCCTGTGGGAAACCATGATATTGCCATACGCACGGCACACGGTTTCGAATCAGTCCGGATGCATGACTTGATCTTGCCTGTCGCGTTGCGTCATATCGTGTCAACATTTGTCAACAATCGAATCATATATATATATAATATATATAATATAATATATATATATATCATATTGAATCTGTTCTAGCGAGATTTCCCACTCAGCATGTGGCGGTAGAGTCCGCCAGCCTTTTAGCCGGGCACCATCTCAACTTTGTCACTGCTGGCATTTGATAACTTGCAGCCTGTCTGATTAGTGATCACACTGACTACTTCTTCTGCAAGTTCGTCTTTTGTCACTGCGAGTTCATATATACTCAGCTCGACATGAAGGCTTGAAGGCCAGTTTGAGAGTAGATGGTCACTATGGCATTGAAGGACTCAAGGTGCACCTTCAGAGTTCAGTCCGATGAACAAAGCCAAATAAGCAAAACCAAAAACAGCTCCATACCCAATAAATTTCAGCGTTGGAGTGATCATGTCCTTCTCAGAATCTTCTTCACTAGGAGGGTTGGTCAACATTCCTGCGTAATACGACAAAGGCTTTGTGTCTGTATTCGATGGGTTCGATGGGTCTACTTCCGCATCTGTCCCCGTGACCTTCGCCATCGGCATGGGCGACTTCGGAAAAGTCTCTGAATCAGTGGCCTCAGTGGCCTTGCTTTGCACCTGTCCTCGAAGAGCGGATGTTGTGGATGTCGTGTCCTTGAACTGCACAAAGGTCTCCGCAAAGATGTGAACCGCTAGAGCTGCGAGGAAAGCCAAGACTTTGCGCCGTCTCAGAGAGTCAATAGGCATGGCAGCTCAGCAACCGGATTGGCTAAAAGGAATGGATTCGTCGGCTTGGTTTGAGCTTGCAGCTTGCTAGGTTACAACTATAGGCCTGTAGGCACGAGTCTGACAGTTTCCAAGTTTCCAAATGACAAAAATTGCAGGGGTATTCAAATCTGTAATTACAGTACAACTTGTATGCCATTCTGTTTGGATATTTAAGATGTATAGGATCTAGGAGTATAAAGAATCACACTTGCCTGTGCGCCAGTACCAGAAGGAAATTAAACAGTAGAGATGGGTCGTGAAAGCACAGTGCACCTGTGACACAGGAAACAACCCGATACAAAGATTAGTCCAAATTAAAAGCAAGCGAATGAAACAAATGCTCTCAAACATGTCTCAGACCTCTGACTTTGTGATCCTAGCTGCTGAATTGTATACTGCAGCACCAAAGAGTAGCAAAGAATTCCATTAAAGTTCGCTGTGATGCATATGGTGACAGCAAGTCAAGTAGCATGGAAGGCAGCAACGAGGGATGCAGTCGCATTAAAAAGTATCAGTTCTGGGAAGCTTAAAGATATTCTGGGACTGATGTTGTTGCTGCGCAATTGATCAAAATAGCTCCCAGATGAACCAGATGAAGAATATTGAAGAACCAAGTACAGGCTGTACAGGGGTGTCTTTGTAGCATAGAGGTGCGCATGCATGTTGAAGATTGCAATTGCACCCATGTGAGTTGTATCTGTGCGAATGCGAATTCAGACTCAATATTTTTGGGGCTTGGTGATAGTGGACTTTTGCTTACCTGTTGGACATTGAGAATTCTATATTACTCCAAAGTAGTTGGTGGTGGTGCCCGTACAAATCGCTAAGGATGCCGCAGGTATTTTCACATCCACTTTTGGTCCTTGGATCTGGAAGCTCTTTGGTCTGAGTTCCCCACTGTGTTAGGTACAGGAGCGCCATGAGTGATAACGCAACTGGCAGCGAATGGAGCCAGTCCACAGGTTTTCTGCAGAGAGAATACATGATCTTCTTCCAGGAGGCTGAATGCAAAGACAGGAAATGCACAAGATGGTTATCCCAGGCATGTACCTGTGAAAAAAGACTTCACTGTTCAAGCACAAACGCAACACAGAACTACTATATAAAAGAGAAGGAAATGTTCTTGCAAAATGAAGGAATGCTACGTACAATGCCGACATGTTTGGCCGCAGGTGGCCCGCCTGCAACTAAGCCCGAAAGCTGAGACACTCCGCCACTACTGCTGCAAACAGCACTTCGCGAGAAACTTCCAGAAGCCTCAGCACCAAGAAATACCCGGAACCCGGTATGGTCCCTATATCTGCAACACTTCATTTCAGAACCTGACGATTCGGAAACGATGATTCGGCAATGCTTGGTTCAAGAGCTTTCAGAACAAAAGCAAAAATCCTGAAGCGGACACCACCCAAACCACCCCTCCCAAACCCTGAAAGCCGAACCTAACCCAAATCTAAACCTTGAAGTGAAACTGCTAGATCTTCAAAAAGTCCAAGCATTGTACTAGTACTCCTTTGCAAATTCCAAGTACCAGTCAGACAGTGAATCATGGACCAGCACAGCATTGCATGTCCTATACAGCAAAGGTGCTGGATAAGATGAGCACATTGACCCAAAGATGTTCGAAAAGCCAAGTGCCAGCAGCTCCTGGCTGGATGATAGTTCCTCACCTGAGTGCTCGTCACTCAATTTCAAAATATTTCAAATATCCTTTGAGCTAGCACCACCTGGACAAAGCACAAAGCGGCCCAAAAAAAGTGAATCAGCGCATGAAGTCCAAAGGTGAAAAGGGCAAACCTGCTTATTTTTTTGGGCGTCTTCCACACAGGGACCTCGAATTGAAAACCTGTTCCCTAGCATCGGAACATTCATGCAGCTTGAAGTGAAAACTGTCCGGTCTGAGGTTACAACAGAAAGTGAATCTGAAACGGTTGGAGAGGATTCAAAAAAAGCGGAACCAAATGATGACATCGCTCAGGATGATCAAAGGGGTAGCTGGTCAGCCTGAAACTGGCGTAGAGTTCCATGGACAGTTTTTAGTTTTATCTGGTGATCCTCCTGTTCCCAGTCAACCTTCACTTGTTTTGACGCCGCCAAATTGGATATAATATATAGAAAACCAAATGACCAGTTGGAGACTACGACATGCAATCCCTGACACCTCATGCCCCCTTCCTCCAGTCCACTTGAACAACCTAAACCTCACATGCAAGTCCTAGCCTTGGATTCAAAACAAATTCTATATAGCTATCATTCTGTATGTGTTGTCAAGATTAAATGCATTGTTCCAGTCACAAAATGATCTGAAGTTTTATCGCCAAATCTTTCTTGTTCAAAGAGCGTTACAAGTACAGATCCTTGTTCTATAAAAGTTTCCCCTTAGTTCAGGTCCATGATTCCTCTTGTCCCGATGATGCAACTGCGGCAAGCATGATTTCAAACCAAACCTCATTCGAACGTGGGAGATACCCACAGACCTGGAACCGAAAAACTGTTTGGCAGTCAACTGGAAGCCAGCTCATGATGGTCATGTGTGCTGATTTGTGCTGCATGCCACCATCGCTTCATTTTCGGTTGAGTGACCCTGCTGCTTTGCCAAGTTCTGCGCAGTTGCAAATGCTTCCAGAAAACCTGCGAACCAAGCTGCGACTTACACAGCCCAACGGCAGAAACAAGAAGTACCCTCTTTTGCAAACCAGCTCATGTCAGATTCTTGCTGCTCAGTGTGTTGTTGTCTCGACACTCAAAATACTCTCAAAATCTACTGTGAGATGACTGATGACTGGGGTTGTCCCTTATATTGCCACATCAAAAGAGCATGCGGAGGCTTCTGGTTGTTCTTCTGTCACTTTCTCTTTCCCGCCGAGTTTGTGCCGGTCAGATCCGACATGGCTGTTGTAGAACGATCCACCGCACACCCCGTGCCTATAAGGGCAATAGTAGCCGAGAGCGGTAAACTTCCTCTCACATCTTGCCAAGTCCATCTTGAGAATACCGGAAGGGAGGAAGGCAGAGATCCTCCCGGTATGTCTCCAATGATCTCCAATCCTGTGGAAAGGAATTGTGGTTGCATGCAAAAAGAACGAACACACACGTAGGCGCATACCGTGCGATACCACACTAAACATAATACCCTGCCGTACTATACCATGCCACACCAGGCCATACAATCATACCGTGACACACCATGCCATACGATGCCATGCCATGATATGGCAAGTCATACTATGCAATACCATGCCATATGGTACCTTACCATGCATTGCCATGCCATACCGTGCCATGCCATAGTATCCCATACCATGCCATGCCATAGGATGCCATACCATGCCATATGACGCCTTACCATGCATTACCATGCATTACCATTCCATATTATGGCATACCATGTCATACCATGCCATACGGTGCAGTACTTTGCCATATGATGCCTTTCCATGCATCACCATGCCATACCATGCCACCATACCGTGCCACATGATGCCATACCATGCCAAACCATGCCAGACCATGCCATCTACGATTTCGGTTCCATTCCAGCACAAAGCAGCGGATGATGTTGCAATACACACTTGACACGTATATTGCAGTACATCACATTACATCACAGTACATTCCACACTAGACAAAATTGGATCTTTGAATAGATCCATCAGGAACTGAGTCCTGTAAACGTGCAAATTAGATGAGAAACAAATTAACCTACGTAGTACCCTTCGAATAATGGAAGTTCTCCCGAATGACATTCGTGACCTGAATCGACATCAAATATGATAAAATAAAGACCAAACGACAGCATGGTGGTTCTTGGGTTAGCTACTTCCCATTGCAGAAATGATATGAAAAATAGCAGGTACGTCGATGAGCAACCCCATCGATATCACAGATGACACAATGGCGTCTTCGTTGGTGCCAGTCCAGTGTGCATCCCTGGCACCCCCTGCTCTATTAGAAAGGGAGAAGAAAGAAAAAAGAAAAAGGAGAAGTTTTACATCTACTTAGATGTTACACACACACAGACACACACGCGCGCACCTCACGTATGTATGGATGGATGGATAAATAGTGTAAATGTACGGAATACAAATGGCACCTTTGCCTTCAAAGTCCGTTATTTTTTGTCAGGATAGTCCATCCAAAAATGCATCAGTACTGTCCATGATAGCAAGCGCAAAAATATTCATATGCAAATGTTTCTCTTCCCTTAGGCAGAACTGTTGGAATGGTTGAAAAGTGGTTCAAAGCACTTTAAACCAAGCAAGAAGAAAGATTGTACCATTGATGGGGAACCCTTGGGTGAAATCGTCTGCCTTGATTATGCCTCAAATTCTTCAAAGCCGCCTCTCCGAAAGAACCGCTAACTGTTCTCTAACTTTGGAAAACAAAAATCAAACCCATTTGCGTGTTCAATGAGTCGTGTTTCTTGCCTTTTTGCTGTCTCAAAGCGACTTAGAATCGTCCGTTTCCAGCACTCTAAGTTCACCACCCAGGATTGATTCGCCTAGTGGTCGGATTTTTTTTTGTTTCTCTTTCTGCTTTCAAGAAGGAAAAGGCCAGGGAAAAAGCGTTCCTCCAAAAAAGATCGCCTTGAATTCAAAAGCCTACAGAGGCAATTGATGTCATTGATGGTCAGCAAGTTTCCCTGCAATGCTTAGGGACCTTTTGGCCTTTTTGGGCCTTTTGTGGTCGCATTTCGGATCATTTTGGTATCTTCTTCTGAAGCCTTCTGACACTTCATTGCTTGAAGCTTTTTTTTGTATTTGCTGAGTATGAGATTACGCAATATACCCGAACAAAATTAAATCGATCTCCTGAATATAGTATAGGTCTGGGTTCGGGGCCAAAAAACAAGTACATAAAGGTATGGTCATGTTTGCGAGTGAGCCGCCGAATATGGAGATCCATAGCTTTGATGAACCTCTCTCTCTCTATCTATCTGTCTGTCTATCTATCCATCCACCCATCCATCCATCTATCTCCCTCCCTCCCTCCCTCGCTCTCTCTCTCTCTCTCTTCTCTCTCTCTCTCTCTTCTCTCTCTCTCTCTCTCTCTCTCTCTGGATGCTTCATTTGATGTCAAATCCACGCTTGATTTGTTTGCAGGAGGTAACTCTGATGTGTCAGATATCTACGCATGACTAGATTGTGTGTGTTTCTCTCTCTCTCTCTCTCTGAGGAATAATAAAATGTGTATGTCATGCCCCTGCATCATTTGGATGGATGTGAACCTCCCTAGTCTCTTTTGAACGATTTAGTAAATCAATGGCACATACCTTGTGCTATTTTTCTGCTGCGATGCTTTAAATTGGGATTGGAGCAAAACAATCTACCATAAACCAAAGGTGAAATCATAAACCCACCAGGCTTTAATCCAATGCGTCAGCACAGAAATTCACAAGAGCGAAAATATAAACCCAGCGCCCCAGATAGTAAGCCCACGAGAGGTCAAAGCATGAATGCAGAGCCCGAATACATATATTTGCCAAAAAAAAATAAACTCAGGAAAGAACATTATAGGCCCACAAGGGAAGGATATAACTACACAAGAGGGACATCATAAATCCAAAAGAGACAAAACATAAACTCGCAAAAGGCAAATCATACATCCACAAGAAATAAATCCATCACGGCAAAGATATGAAGTTCCGCTTTCACCATGCGTATTTTTTGTCATGGTATATGCATAATATTGATTTGCTTTTTATCATCATGTTTTTTTGCGTTGGCCACAACCATTTCCATATTTACCATGGCAATTGCATGAAATAGGTTTCAAGTATTCATATGTATTCCAGAAAATTTTGGGTATCAGCGAAGATGATGCATATCAGCGAAGATGATACATATCAGCGAAGATTATGCATAAGAAACAGTAGGCTCTTGATGGGGCATGGCATACGCATATCATCCGTCCATCATGACCCGTAAGAGAATTGGGTTCTGGGACTGCATTCACCTGCAAAATACTGATCAAGACACAAAATCAAACAAGAAAAATTGGATCACACGAGCAAGGTAGCTGCAAGACTAAGCGCACTGATGAAGCGCTATCTTGCCCAAGAAGTCTTCATACCGGATTCCGGTAGGTCTCCGAAGGGTTTCCGGGAAATGTTTTCGGATTTCCTATGTATTGAAACATATTGAAATATTCCCACACGGATGAGGCGCAGAGTCCAAGAGTCCTTCTATGTGCTGCAAAGGCTTGCAGAAGTAGATACACAGGACACCAATGACCTGAAATGATCTTAAACAAAGTCTGAAACAAAGTAAATCACATTGATCTTTGTTTTATTTTGTGTTACCCTGCATACACTTGCTTACGGATTTTCCTCCATGCTTCAATTGAAATGTCGTGGCAGATCGTCTGAGCGATGACATAAAAATATCCGAACAACATGATTTTTGTATGGCGATGTCATTGATCCGCAAAATGGTCAACCTCTGAGAATCTGAGCTGTCTCAAATGTATCAAGCAATCAGACAGAATCAGCCCAGAAAAAACAATCGGGTCTCTTGCCAGGAGACACAGCTGAGCAGTGGCCCTAAAGAACCCAGCAACTTGCAGCCGCATTTGATTCCTATCTTCCGAAGTCCTATTAGACAAATTGTGAAGAGCAGCCCAAGCCTTGGTGTGAGGTAGAATGGGGACAGCTCCGACTTGCAGCTTTGCGATGGTCAAGCATGGTTGAGCTAGGATTGAAAGGGCCGTCCCATATAGATCTCACCTATGGTTTGCCCTGGCTGTCTAGGTATGATGTGCTGAATCGCAATTGTAGCCAAATTGCCCGAGAGTCATTGGCTGAACTTCGCTCGCTTTCGAAGCATAGGCCCACATCTTCAAGATCGGAAATTCCTCGGAGACAAACAAGGCACAATACATTTCAATTACATGAATAACACATTAATCATCCATATTGATACATTGTGATACATTCATATCTTCAACATTCAACATATTCAACCTTCTGTCGCTTGTCAGCGTCAGAGCCCAAAATCGGCTCGCTTCCCAAAAATTGCGTCGGGATGCCGAGCTTGCCACCTTGCACGGCATTGCACGGTATTGCAGCCGGCCAAAAGAGAGGAAACAAACAATGCAAAAGTCTTGGATACGTTATAAGTTTTGTATTAGTTACATGTAGTTACTAAAGCAACTAAGTCAAATACTAAACATCTTCCGAGTACCCAGCCATCGAGCAGAAACTTTTTTAGACAGCTGGAATCATATTGCGAGAAAGATCAGTCAATCGGGTAATCAATCATAATCAATCTACAGGTCAAGTCGCTTCATATCCCACGAAGTTCTTCAGCTGGTGCAACCTAGCAGAATCCGATGGAATCCGACGGCAACACGAAAGCAGGGTCTGCAGGATCATGACGAATGTCAATGCTGACATGGACTGGGAACACCTTTTGACCGATCCTGCTGGGTCAATTGGCACCCCGTCACTCAGAACACACTAGCAGTCACTAGCTGCTGCAGCTTGACGTTAGCAATTAATTCTGTGCAAAGGACATCGAAGAACAAAAGTGTTCAAAGAGACAAGGATATTGCAAATTGATCTTTCTTTTCCGGAATGCTGCAATGATTTTTGTCCAAGAAGCATAATCACAATTGCTGAACCACTTGAGAATCCACTGATAACCTCAGATCTAGAGCCAGCAGAAGGAAACTGACAGTACGGGAACCTTCTGCATCAGAAGGACCTGGATAAACCTCGAGATTCCGCTGCAAACATGGCCGAGGTGATAATATTATGTATTCGCAGATGTCTGTGGATGCACAAGTAGCAGTCGGACTAGGGAGCGCAGAGTTGTCTGAGGTAACGAAAGCAACTAGAATGCAAAGGAATCTTTTTGGAAGGGTGTGCGCCGCGCTGTATGATTGAGTGATTGCCTCATCAATTAATTGACTGATTGCACATGACTGCTGGTGGTTGGTTGGAGTGACTGATTGAGTAGTTCGCTCGTTCTTGGTTGTTTCATTGGTTCCTTGTTGGTTTATCGGTTGGTTGCTTGATTAGCTTATTGCCTGGTTTGTTGATCAGTTTGTTGGTTACTGTACTCGTTGGTTTATTGATTGGTTTGTTGATTGGTGTATTGTGTGGTTCTTGATTTGTTTATATTGGTGTTATTGTTTGTTTTGCTTGGTTCAATACAACTGAGGTTTCATTGATCACGGATGGACTGTTTGACTTATGTTTTGACTGCTTGATTCAGTCATGGATGGATGGATTGATTGGTTCGGTGGCATCTTGGCATGTTGGCATGTTGGCATGGTTGATCGCTTGTTTGATTGGCTGCTTGGTGATTGGGGCCTCAGATGGGTGTTCAGTGCTCTGCAAGCTGCTCCGCCTAACACGTACTATTTCGACCATCCATTCTGAAGATCAATGGTGCTGAACTATATACAGTAGTCAATTCTATTCAAGCATTCCAAAACCGCAAGGCACCAGCACCACACTATAGATTTGCGCAAAACAATCTTCTCTGTCTGGCACTACTCTACAGAGCTGCGCAGCCACGCCATTGCGTGAAGCATCCCCAGATTGCATCCTACACAAGTACGCCCACCGCATAAAAAAATCCCGCAAAGCGCTTCGCGCCTCTGTGACAATTGGAGCATGTTCCAAGCATCTATCATATAGAATAAAATCATGTATGAAATCTATATATATATGTGTGTGTATGTGTATGTGTATACTACGTACGTATACGTACGTAGGTACGTAGGTACGTAGGTACGTAGGTACGTAGGTACGTAGGTACGTACGTAGGTACGTAGGTACGTACGTAGGTACGTAGGTACGTAGGTACGTAGGTACGTAGGTAGGTACGTAGGTAGGTAGGTAGGCAGGCAGGCAGGTAGGTAGGTAGGAGGGAGGTAGGTAGGTAGGTATGTGGGTGGGTCGGCAGGTAAGTAGGTAGGTGGGGTGGGTAGGGTAGGGTAGGGTACGGTACGGTAAGGTAAGGTAACGTAAGGTTAGGTTAGGTAAGGTTAGGTATGTATGTATGTATGTATGCATGCATGCATGCATGTATGTATGTATGTATGTAAATACATGTGCATATAATATTAATATACATATACATATACATATACACATACACATACATATACACATACACATATACATACACATACACATACACATACACATACATATACATATACATATACATACATATACATATACATACATATACATATACATACATATACATATACACGTACACGTACACATACACATACACATACATACACATATACATATTACAGTATGTTCATTCTGTATCCGCATGCGCACATACCTCCACTGCCACATATCCTTCTGGCAAAGATGAAAGCGAACGGAAATAAAACTTAAACGGTCAATGCTGTATCTTGAAACTGGACGGTTCTGTTGTAAAACTCGGATTGTGAAACTTGGAGGTTGTATTTTCAACCTTGTAGTTGATAATGTGAAGCTGATATTGTGAAACTTTGAAGATTGTATTTCGGAACTACTCAGCGTAGCATCCATACTGCGCAAGTAGACAGAAATTTTATTGCCCCCACCAAACCCGTCCCAACCAACCGGGAACAGCTCTGCAAAATTAGTTTCCAAATCCGATGACTTGCAAAACAATAGTTGCTCAAAAATAGTTGCACAATATGGCCAAGTAGTTGCACAAACCTAGTTGCACAATCCAGAGGAGTTTCAGAATAGTACTTCAACCAATTACAACTCATGTACCAATTGACCAGGTGCAGGCAAAAGTGCAACTTAGCAACTAGACCCTCTGTAGCATAGCAGCAAAGCAGTAGTGCACACCAACGTGCAAATAAGGAAAGTTGATAAAACGGTTACGGCACTAGGGTGACATCTACAGTGTCTTGAGAAGTAGAGGCATGCGTCTCACGAGACCATTTTTGGACTCGCTGACATCAACTGCTCTACTACATGATTGCGTAGTAATCAGCAGATTGCAACTGGAGAAAGTTTTGGTTCCAAACTTCCTCTCGATTGCAGTACACACCAAAGCGGCCGAACCTGAAACTAAACCAAGTCACTGGGTGCCCCAAGAATTTCAGCAGAAAACCAAGCTGAAGTACCTACGGAGAGCCAGCTTCCATTCTGCAGCATTGTGTTGTGGACATACAAACATGTGCTGCTCTCCTACAAAGCACTGTACGGAAGTACTCCATTCATGAAAGTGCAACATCAAATTTATAACCATCGCGGTTGAGAAATCTCACACGAATCAGAAAGTACTCCTTTTCCCTTTCCTTCTGCCACGTGACGCAAAAGAGCGTCAAAAAGCAGCCGCACAAGAGTGATTGCAAAATGGCCTGCAGAACATAATTTAAATGTCACAAACTCGATGGCAGGCAGTGTCAATTTGGGCACGAACAAAACAATAAAGCAAAGAGATATAAAGAGATGCAAAAGCAAACATGTTGTCGTAAAGGCTTGAGTGTGCATGCTAGTGGAGGCAGTCAAACGTTGTTCTTGCTTACCAGGGTTGAATGGCATGGAACGGCATGGAATGGCGCATAGTGCATTCAACTGGCTGCGCTGCGAACAAGTTGCAAGATCTACGTACTTCTCCTGGCAAACCTAGCCATTCAACACTTGCCCGCAGAAGCGCCAAGGGGTGTGAAATTATCAGAGAGTGTGATTATACAATATAATATATATATATATACATATATATATATAATGCTTTAAAATCATATACGTGTTGCATTTCGTTGCATCTTGTTGCACTCGTTTTGCACTAGATCAAAGTTTTCTGGTAAAATATTCCCGGTTTCTCGAGTTGCTGAGCAAACAAAAACGCAGCGAAAACAAGCTCTGAGGAAACGAACCACACTATAGGCGCCTTAAAGAAATATAATAATATGATATAAAGTGCGTGAATGTATCAATGTCAGGGTGAAGAGTTTGCCGGACTAGGCACATGTCGCTGTCTTTCCACCTCGCTGTGGGTCTGATTGTGCCAAAGAGGACATTGATATTGATCCTCGCTGCAAGCAGATAGTGTCGTTTCATGTTCTGTCCGTAAATCTATCACAATTGTTGGCCTTTCCACAGCAACTCCGTCCAACCAAGCCACCATACTACCCTCAAGACCCTCTTGCAGCAAAAGCGATATCATAGCCACAGGGCCAACCATCAACCTGCTCAAGCAAGTGGATGCGAAAAGGTTGAGAGCACGTTGTAACCGAACCCCTCAACCAAAACCCTGCAAGCATAGCACAAACAAAGCCCAAAAAAATGCCAAGCCGCTTTCTTGACATGCCCAAGAATGAATAGACCAGCTGAGGCATCACCAAGGCATACCTTGCAAAGTCGAATCCAACGTATCTGATGCAACTCCAAAGTTCTGGGCTTTGTGTGGTAGTCTCTACAGTCTTAAATCTCGGTAAATCTCCAATGCCCAACAGAACATGGAGACTAGCTGTCTTTCAGACTCTGCGAGGATAGCACAACATAGTGCAACAACGTATCTTTAACAGGCCAAGGCAGCCAAGTCACAGTCCATATACCTCAGATTTCAGATTGATGCACTGGTCCCCCGCACTGCCATGTCGCTTGGAGAGATGCGCGTCATATCATCATCTATGTATGTAGTCTATAAAGTGCTTTCAACTTAAGAACAGAGTCCTCATCTGAGACTCTTCTACCTTTTTCTACATCCTACAATGGCTGCCACAATATGCCACCAGGGCACGTGAGGGAGCCCCGCAATTTCAGCATAGGCCAAGCTCTCTGGCACACCCATCACAGCCACTGTCGCTCCTTCCATCCACAGTTCATCACAATTCGAGGGCCCGAAAGCCATATAAGGAAGACGCAGGTTTTGACGTGTAACATGGTTCATGATGTTACATTGATGATATTGCGTCGCGTTGATGATGGGGTAGGGGGTGCGCAAGTGTTGGCATCACGTAAAACACGTATCCTGATGTTACCTTGATGACGTTACATTGATGATGGGGTCGGGATTGGATGATGTTACATTGATGATGGAGCCAGGGGTGGGGAAGGAAGCGTAAACGTTCCGTGTAGCCCGTTGATGATGTTACATTGATGATGGAGCCGGGGGTGGGGAAGGAAGCGTAAACGTTCCGTGTAGCCCGTTGATGATGTTACATTGATGATGGAGCCAGGGGTGGGGAAGGAAGCGTAAATGTTCCGTGTAGCCCGTTGATGATGTTAGTTGATGATGGAGCCGGGGGTGGGGAAGGAAGCGTAAACGTTCCGTGTAGTCCGTTGATGATGTTAGTGATGAGCCAGGGGTGGGGAAGGAAACGTAAACGTTCCGTGTAGCCCGTTGATGATGTTAGTTGATGATGGAGCCAGGGGTGGGGAAGGAAGCGTAAACGTTCCGTGTAGTCCGTTGATGATGTTGCATTGATGATGGAGCCGGGGGTGGGGAAGGAAGGGTAAACGTTCCGTGTAACGCCTTGATGATGTTACATTGATGATGGAGCCAGGGGTGGGGAAGGAAACGTAAACGTTCCGTGTAGCCCGTTGATGATGTTACATTGATGATGGAGCCAGGGGTGGGGAAGGAAGCGTAAACGTTCCGTGTAGCCCGTTGATGATGTTACATTGATGATGGAGCCAGGGGTGGGGAAGGAAGCGCAAACGTTCCGTGTAACGCCTTGATGATGTTACATTGATGATGGAGCCAGGGGTGGGGAAGGAAACGTAAACGTTCCGTGTAGCCCGTTGATGATGTTACATTGATGATGGAGCCAGGGGTGGGGAAGGAAGCGTAAATGTTCCGTGTAGCCCGTTGATGATGTTAGTTGATGATGGAGCCGGGGGTGGGGAAGGAAGCGTAAACGTTCCGTGTAGTCCGTTGATGATGTTGCATTGATGATGGAGCCGGGGGTGGGGAAGGAAGGGTAAACGTTCCGTGTAACGCGCTGATGATGGTACATTAATGATGGAGCCGGAGGTGGGGAAGGAAGCGTAAATGTTCCGTGTAGCCCGTTGATGATGTTACGTTGATGATGGAGCCAGGGGTGGGGAAGGAAGCGCAAACGTTCCGTGTAGCCCGTTGATGATGTTACGTTGATGATGGAGCCGGGGGTGGGGAAGGAAGCGTAAACGTTCCGTCTAAAGCGTTGATGATGGTACATTGATGATGGAGCCAGGGGTGGGGAAGGAAGCGTAAACGTTCCGTGTAGCCCGTTGATGATGTTACGTTGATGATGGGGAAGTGGGGAAGTGTTAACGTTCTGTGTACATGCGTGCCTACCAGTGGTTGGAACCTGCGGTTGGACTCCTTAGAAGCGAATCACTTTGCAGCGCCATGCGCACGGTACCACAGCGACACATTTAAAAAAAAAACGAAACCAACAAATTTAGGGCTGAAACCCACCAAAATTGAGAAACTTGCGTATAGAAACTCCAACGCAGGCCACATTTTCATCTTGAGATGCAAATGACATTGCACATGAGAACAAAAAAGACAAGACCTGAGAAGGATGTAACAAAAGCCAGCTCGAATCTTGCGATGAAAACAGATCTCCATTTTTATGTGTCTAAATGATTCTAAATGGCCTCTAGGCTCCACATATCTTGTTTACGACTCCAAGAGCCAAACGCCTCTCGTCCGCATCTATAGGTCCCATCTCCTACAAGCCTTGTTTAGATAGACTCCAAGAGCCAGAATCCGATCTCTGATTTTTTTTCTGTTTCTAAATGGCTTCTATGTCTCATCGCCCACAAGTCTTGTTTACAGATCGAAGGCACAAACTCCGATCTCCATGTTTATGTCTCTAAATGGCCTCTACGTCTCATCTCCCATAAGTCTTGTCTACGACTCCAAGGGCCAAATACGATCTCCATTTTTATCTCTTAATGGCCTCTCGTTTTTCTGTTTTTAACTGGCCTCTGCATCTCATCTCCGACAAGCCTTGTTTACGACCCCAGGAGCCGGACCAGGGGGAATCGATACCCCACCGTCACTGAATTGCGACACGGTACATCGCCCTCAAAACGTACCCATTTGCTCACATAAAACACCACCTAATTTCTGTTTGCTGACCACTTTTGCGCGACCTGCCCCCAGTTCCCTTAGACTCACTTCGTTCGTAGTAATAACTTCAGCCTAGCCTTCCAACTGGCTTCGTAATTTGAAGTTTTGAATTTGGTGTTTTTTCCCATCCAGTTTAGCTCAGTGCAGGTGAAACGCGGATTTTTCAAGACACACTCTAAATTCAATCAGTATCAATAAACACATTTTGGCAAAGCATGTCCCACGCCTGCGACACGAAATGCGCTTAAACTCA